GTATGTAATATGTATGTATGAACAAGGAAGCAATATAGAGCAAAGGGGGGGGGGGGGGGGGGTATTTTATTCATATGTGTTCTTGAGTGTCCTCTTGTATGTTTGTAGAGAGAAGTGGGAGGATAATGTAGAGAGAAGGGGGAGATCATGGAAGTGAACCAAAAAGCCCCTAACTTTGAGAGCCAAAAGCCCTTTTATACGCATGGTGGCGGGTTTGACCCGTCACCTCTAATTTTGACCCGTAGACCGTGTCTCGAACCGCTTGACTCTGACCTGATTACAACGAGTCCATGGACGTACAAGCAGTCGGTGCCAGGATATATATCCTATTAAGAGCCCCCCCAGCCCGTGCCCTGACGATGAGCTAATGAGGAAGGGTTCAGGCTGGAAAAACTAGTTACACGGTCTGTGACATGGCGCGGTTGCCTCGTTAAAAACCTTAAGCTAATAAAAAACCTAGTGGGAAAAAATTTAGCCCAGGAAAGAAGAGCACAACTTTAAGCGCAGTCTAGTGGACCAAAAGGGGAGCGCCCAACCTAGGGGTCAGACTTCCTAAACTAATTTAGTATCTAGTTTAGTATATATAGAGGTCCATAGAAGTATAGAATATACATTAAGAGAGACAATCTATTGTAATCTTTCACTATAATATATTCTCTATATTCTCTTGTTCTTTGGTTATCACATATTTTGCTTCCGCCTAACTGGTGGGTGGTGGTTATTCTCCACCCGCCAGACCTATCAATCCCTCAATCTCAACATGGTATCAGAGCCTAAACCCTAAATAATTCTTTTCTTCTTTCCCGCCGCCATCACAGCCGCTGCCGCCACCGGAGCCAAAACCACCGCCGCCGATATCTGCTATCGTTTTCCGGCCAGATCTCTCTGCTCCGATATCCGTTCGAGACTTCGTTGCCACCATTGGATTCGTCTCGAGGAGACGCATCTACCTGTGTTTCCCGATCTTCCATCGGTCGCCGGTCAACGCCGGTCAACTTCGCCGGTCAATGGTCAACGTTAGTCAAACCTCCCTTGAGGCAGAATCTCTTGCCATTTTTGGATTTTTTGGTGAAATTTGAAGGTTCTTTTTTTGGATTTGTTGCTGAACTTCTCCCCATGGTGTTTGTGTTTTGGTATAACCGTGTGTTTGTTTCCTTATCTCCGGTATGCCTTATCCCATGGGCCTTCAGTTTCAGCACTGTTATAAAGACCTTTGATTATTTCCCATGTTTCAAGTAAGGGGGAGTGTAACTATCTACAATCGGTGTGTTATCCTTTGCTATTTTAGTCTTCATTACTATGGGCTCTATTGCATCCTTTGCTATTATTTGCTCCCTTTTTGTCTCTACCGCTCTCTTGTGTTATCGGGAGGTTGTTCATGTTTAACTCTATCCTTGGTGTGTTCATCTTCATTCCCGAGGTTCGTGTTCAGTTCCGTCCTCGGTGTGTTCATTCCCAAGATCGTGTTTAGCTTCGTCCTTGGTGTCTTCGTCTTTATTCCCAAGGATTGTGTTCAGCTCCGTTCTTGGTGCCTTCGTGTTCATTCTCAAGGAAGGGTCAAACATAGTGCAATCTCTTTTGAAGTCATCCATCCTAGAGTGCTTATGTTGCTGTGATGGTGTTCGTGTTTTCCCTTGGTGCCTCCATTCCCAAGGATGTTCGTGACAAGCTTTGCCCCTGGTGCTTTCATTCCCAAGGGTTGTGTATAGCATTGTCCCTCCGAAGCCATCTCGCACTATTATCCTCTAGTTGCATTTAATTTTCATTTGTAATTTTGAGTGAGGTAGAGTGCTTGTTTTAATCCAAGCTTGGAACGTCATGTTCCAGCTTGAGGGGGAGTGTTGAATATTAGGAAAGTTGTCTTAGTTTCCTATTCTTATTAGTAGTTTCCTAAACTAATTTAGTATCTAGTTTAGTATATATAGAGGTCCATAGAAGTATAGAATATACATTAAGAGAGACAATCTATTGTACTCTTTCATTATAATATATTCTCTATATTCTCTTGTTCTTTGGTTATCACATATTTTGCTTCCGCCTAACTGGTGGGTGGTGGTTATTCTCCACCCGCCAGACCTATCAATCCCTAAGAGAGACAATCTATTGTACTCTTTCATTATAATATATTCTCTATATTCTCTTGTTCTTTGGTTATCACATATTTTGCTTCCGCCTAACTGGTGGGTGGTGGTTATTCTAAGGATCGAAATCGACTCATCAAGAGACTAGGTTTGCAAGGAAAGCTACTAATTACTTTTTGCCAATCATGCGGATCGCAGACGAGAACGCTTTTCCCACCCTACTTGGGCTTGACCGGTTGCGACTATTTTCGAGCTCGGTCAAACATTGATCTAAAGCACTCGACTAAGAAGATCGCTCTTAACCGATTTGCACTTGGCTGGTTTTGATTATTGCACTAATCACTACGATTTGCTTTTGAGAACTAAGAATTATTCGAGCATGGTTTACGAACCGAAAGTCCCGGGCGGAGGGATACTAAGAGACCTGATGGTCTAATGATACGAGATGCGTTTCGAAAATGATAATCAGATGAACGGGGAGTGTGCTCCCTTTTATGTTCAGTTTGTGGACCGAGAGCCCCCCAAACGATGGGGCCGCTAAGAGACCCGAAGGTCTAACGATGACGAGACCACGGAGGTCATTTTTTGACCGAGATGTGATAACGAGACCGGGAAAAGTTGGTCTACTCGGGCAGCGCTTTGGCGAAACAAATGCGATTCGACCGACGAGCGAGTTAAGCGCTTTGGTGCAACGAACGCTATTCGACCGACCTACTCGGGAAAACTTCAACGAAGCGAACGACTTCAGCGAAGCAAACAAGAAGCGAACGAGTTACTCTCTACCAAATGCAGCCCCCCACTCCCTTAGGTGCGAGAATCGTCAGCATAAGGGAGTAGATACGATGGGTTCTCGAGTTCGCATGGGTTCTCGAGTTCGCCTTGTTAACTTTAACTGCGATCGGAAAATGACCCGACCGGGTCCACGGTGTGAAAGCACCGAGCTATACTCATAGCGTCGATGACCGGGAAGTGGCTCGACCGAACTCACAGTGTCGGTGTACTACCGGTCATATTGCTTAATTTGTAGGACTTTGAAACTTTACGAATTCTCAACTGACCGATCACTTAATCGAACCTCTAACAGGGTAGAGGGTTTATGCGCTACCGATTTGGCGATCGGGTTTAATGTTGAGACATGGTCTCGAGCTGACTAGACCGGTGGTCGCGAGGCCAACCTAACCGGTCGAAGAAATACCTACCACGTAGGGCTTAAAGCTAAGATACGATCTCAAATTAACTTGGCCGGTGGTGGCAAGGTCAACCTAACCGATCGAAGAAGTGCCTACCTTGTAGGGCTTAAAACCGAGATATGATCTCGGGCTGACCAGGCTGGTGGTGGCAAGGATGCCAACCGGACCAGACTTAGATCGCCGGTGGTGGTAATGATGCTGACTGGACCGGACTTAGAGCGCCAGTGGTGGCAATGCCAACCTAACTAGTCTTTAAAACGCCGGTGGTGGCGAGGCCAACCTAACCGGTCAAAAAGTGCCTAGCTTGTAGGGCTTGAAGCCGAGACGTGATCTCGGGCTAACTGGGTTGGTGGTGGCAATGCCGACCTAACCGGACTTTAGGATGTGTGTATGAACAATAGGGTAGACAAGAGAAATATAGCTCAAGAGTTCTTTTATTCATGTTGTTCTTCTATGCCTCTAGAGAGAAGTGGGAGGATAATGTAGGGAGGAGGAGGAGATCATGGAAGTGAACCAAAAAGACCCTAACTTTGAGGACCAAAAGCCCTTTTATACACATGGTGGCGAGTTTGACCCGTCACCTCTGATTTAGACCCGTAGACCGGGTCCCGAACTGCTTGACCCTAACCTGATTACAACGAGCCCATGGACGTACAGACGGTCGGTGCCGAGATATATATCCTATCAGATATTGTAATTTTTTTTTTCTGAAAACATATATTGTAATTTTTATACAATGGTCCTCAACCTGGGCCTGCTGTTTTTGCTGCTCAATGCCTCTATGTTTTGCCAATATTCGAATCATACTGTGAAGGTTTCTCTCATCTGATTTTATCTGCCCTTAACCGTTTTATGAAATTGGGAAGTACACAGATGGATATCTTAGATGCAAAATGTTGGGCTGCCAAATTGTTTCTGGACATTGTTGCCCACAGACTGATTTATGATGAAAAGATTATGATCAAGATTGTTGAAGTTTTTAATGTCAATCTGTGAAACGTAGGGAAAGCTATCTGTGGTTCACATGCAAACAATGGATGCTTCAATATTTCACTCACAATTCTTTCTGCAAATCCTCATAAACATTGGCCATGGAGTTTTGAAGTTTTACCCTTCTCTCTTAAAGGATGGATTATTGCAATTACAAAAATATCTTTGGGTTTAACAGCAAATCAATGGAAATGTAAACGAAGGACTAAACTCAGCAAAAACACACAAGTCTAGGACTTACATTGTGTCACAAAAGTCATTTAGGACAAAACCAGTCAAGGACTATTTTGAATATTAACTCAAGTACTTTTAGTATATTAAAAATATACTTTTTTGTTAATAGTCCACATAACACTGTGTAAACTATGATCCACACAATAATTTGTCATAGCCATCCGGCCTCATGGCAAGAAATATGAATTTGTTTTTTTTTTTTTTTTTTTTTTTTTTTTGGGGGGTGGGGGGTTGTGAGATAAGTTTTTATGAACATCTAAAAAAATATTATAAACATACTACAAAAGTAAGCGAAAATATATATTATGTACATGCAATTTAGTGTTTATGCATATTAAGATTTAGAATTATGAACATATAGAAATATAGAACAAATATTATAAACATAGTACAAAATAAATGTTATTAAACATGATAATATGATATGCTGATTAACGCACTTAAAGACTTAATATAAAATGATGTCGTTTGGGATTAGAGTCCACCATTGCCCACACGATATAAATTGCGTTGAAAGAATAAAATGCTATACTCCTAAAATTGTATTTTACACTCTAAATGCATCCCTATCTCAAGCAATTCCTCAAAAGTGTTTAAAGCATTATAAAAATAAAGAGCAGGCAGAAGAAACAGGTTTAGCTAACTTCATAATTCTACATAGAAAAGCAGATCACCATAGCCATCCGGCCTCATGGCCTTAAGAAATATGAATTCGTTTTTTTGTTTTTCATTTTTGTTAAACAAGTATTTTATGTGGTATTTTAATCAACTAACCGAACAGCAGCTATTGCAGGTATTGCTTCTCTTAGCTTTTGTGTTAGAGCTACACGCACTGTCATCACACTAGCAGCAGCGCCACTAAGGCGGACCGTGACAACATACTCTTCGATCTGCATGAGTTCCAGTTCTCCACCACCTGCGCCCACTAAATACGGTCTGATCTCTGCAAGAAGCTGAATAGTATGCAAGAGAACACTTTAGTAAAGCATTTTTTTAGTATAAATATGACCTAAGACCACTGTTGCAAAAATCGGCCTAGGCGCCAATTAGGCGCTACGCGCCCCAAGGCCGAGGGGATTTTACCCTTAGGTGGACATTAGTCGGCCGGTTGACTAGGCGGCATAGGCGCCCGAGTCGGCCAACCAGGCGCCAAACTCGGCCAACTTTTTTTTTTTTTTTGGCGTGTTGTTTTTCTTATTATTATTACTCGGCCGCCTAGGCACTAGGTCACCCCCGGGCGCCCAACTAGTGCTTAGCGCCCTCTACAACATTACCTCAAAGTGATGTGTAGTCTCCAATTTTGTTTTTCAACATATTATAATTTAGAAACCACTAAGATGAGAACAGATCAAAATGTCATGAGAGTAGTGCAAAGTGCAAAAACTAATCAAGAATGCTATCATATGGTTCAGGATTGACGTCTAATTTCCACTTGTATGCTTTCAAGTTTCAAGAGATTACCCAGTCACATCCTCCTCTCTCAATTTGAGGGAGCACCTATCTATTTTAACAAAATTTATGTTACAAGAAAAATTTATTGTCTTCCAGTAAAATGATAAATCTCATCATATTATATCATTCAAGTGTTATGGTATATTGTTTACCTTTTCAATATTTTCTTCATTCAACTCGAGGCCAGTCTCAGTGTCAAGAATTTGTTCAACCGCTTCAATTTCTGGAATTTTATCACGAAGGCGGGTTTCAATTCCCATCTTTAATGTCAATGTAGAACTTGGACAGGACCCACAAGCTCCCTGTAGCTTTAGCACTACAACAAGGCCATCAATCTCATGTAGAGCCACATTCCCTCCATCAGCCATTAAGCCCGGTCTGACTTCATCCAGAACCTTTTCAACATTTTCCTCTGTAAGAGGGAGGATAGAACTAGGAGAAACCACAGTACCTTCAATTTTAAAGAAACAAACGTAAATAGAAATCACAGTCTGTGTTGATGGTATATTTAAATAGAAAGAAATTCAACAGGGAAGTTTGAAGAGTCCACAAAAACAAAGCTAAACTTGATTATAATACCATAAATCCACGGCAATTAATAACATACTAGAAAGATGTACATTTCTAAATTGATAAGTACTGTTATAAACCATTTTACACTAGCAATGGTAGGGAAGGTAATAACACATCACATACTGACATACAAGAGAAAAGATTGAGAGAATGGTGAAGGATAAAGCAATGCAGAGATTTAAGGAAATCAAAGTTCTATCAGAGCAAAACAAAGAGGAAAGGAAAAATGTTTTTGAGCTGAAAAAAATAAAGAGCAGAAGAGCTGTACTCACTTTTCGCTCATTGAGAAACATGTAGATATTAAGTACTGAAGTACAAAATTGTTGGTTTACAATTTTAAAGTCATTTTGGTAACTATTAGCAGGTTTAAATTAAGGACTTAAAGTATAAAATTGATAGGCAACATTCTGTGTTAGTTACCTGCACGTTTTCTGTGCCGACCAGCCCACTTGACTCCAGTGATGTGTCTAATGTGATATTGACCTTTTAGAAATGAACTTTGCTTCAACGGTAAAGTGCATATCCTGGAAAGAGGATACTATGGAGAAATAAAGATATTGACAATATATTTACCAGAGTAAACCCAAAAAAGAAAGACATTAAACATTTTTTTTATGTAGAGGTTCAATTTACATTTAAATGGACATGTACCTTGATGAGGGATACAAATGATGAAGGCAACCATTCAGATGAGTGGTTGAAATTGCATGCATGATGAACTTCACCTTCTGTACATAAATGAAGCTTGAGACTTCATGTTTCAAATGTGATTCTGAAGTAAAAGCAGTAACAAATGATGAATAATTGCTTGTGAAGGTAAAAAAAAAAATAATTGCATTCTTTAAAAAATATCCAAAGATTGGAGTATATTGCTTAAAAAACATAACAGTGAGACTTTCTTTTAGATTTGCATACTCTAAAAGCTTTGCTAGATAGTCAATTTAGTAGGGGTGTGAGTTTCGGTATTCGGCTCGGTTTTTTTTCGGTTTCGGTTTGTTCGGTTTTAAAAAATGATACCATTCGGTTTAACATTATAGTTCGGTTCAGTTTGAAAAAATTCGGTTTCGGTTCGGTATTTAGTTCTATTTAAGAACCCCAATTCTCAAAATTTCCTAATTTTCTAAGCACACTACCAAACAACATATATTCACTGCTGGCAATTCCTAGACCTATTTACAGCAGAAAAAGTATGTTAAAATTCCAGGTACAATGTACATGGAAACAGAGTGAAAAAACTTCAAAAAACACAACAACATCCAGGACACTATTGATTAATGAAAGTTTAGAGAAGTAATATAAAATGCAAACCTCACTAATTGAGCAAACAATAGCAAGTAAAAAATGAGTTCTCCCACCCCACTGCATCAAAGGCAGTAGCACTCCACTAGGAACAATACCTTAAAGCTCAAACGTTTAAATTCACAATCAGCAATTAACTACACAATGCCATGTAAGACTTCCAAGAATGCCAGTACACTGGAATGAAGTTCCAGAAATTCTAGTTCAATGTTAAAGCTCAAACTCAATCAAGCACTGAAATTCAATGTTCAAAGTTCAAACAAACAAAAATCAATGTTCAAGCTCCAACTCAATCAAGCCTATAAAATAGAAATCATCAAATCAACCCAAAAAATCAGAAATCAAGTTCAAGGGCTCAAGGCAATCAAAAAAATTTAATTTTTTAGTCTTCTTCGACACTCAAGGCTCAAGCAATCAGAAATCAAAAATCAAAATTCCTACTTTCCAGACAGAAAAATAAGGCCATAATCGGAGGAGGAAGAGTACCGTTCGTCGAGGCGGCGGAGCAGGCAGCCGGCGACGAGTTTGGGATTGGAATGTGGAGTGATTTTGGGTATTTCTATCTCTTTTTGCAACCTTGGAGGCTTTGTTGTAGTTTTGAAGTGTGAGGTGGTTATTGAGCGGATGAAGGTGAGATTGTGAAGATGGCATTTTGAACTCTCTCATCTCTAATGGTGACGAAGATGGTGTGGACTCCACATACTACATGAATTAAACGAAAATATTTTACTTAAATCCCAGTATTTTATATAAGAGTTAATACCCAAAATCATCTTCGAGTATAGTGGTTTTTCTCAATTTCGTCCTAAACGACTTTGGTGACCTAATATCGTCCCAGACTTTTGTGTTTCGCTCAATTTAGTCCTAGACCTAATATCCGTCGCTAAGCCAACAAATATTCGTAGCTAGATTCAGACCACGACGATCTGGTGATGGATTTTACAACGGACTAGCGACGGATTCGTCCGTCGCTAAGTATAGTGTCGGACCTGTCCGTCGCTAATGTCCGTCGCTAAGATGTAACGACGGATATATGTCGTCGCTAGGTTGTTTTTATTATTTGAATTTTATGCCATTTAGCTACGGTTTAGGGTCGACAATATCCGTCGCTAAATTTAATGACGAATTTGTTCCGTCACTATTTTGTTACCATTTGATATTTGATATTAAATTCTTAGCTACGGATTTACTATAATATTTTTCCGTTGCTATATTATAAAAATTTTAAATAAAATATAGCTACTAATTAATATCGCATACCATATCTGCATTAAACTTATAATATACTACATCAATAATCAATAATATAATTATAATTTCCAAAAAAAATAATATAATTATAAAATATATTATATTTAAACATTCATACTCCATAACAATAACAAAAGTAAAACACTGTATAATGTTATATGGTTTGCAACAATACCAAACATATTAGTAAACATTGCCTAATCAAGTCTGCATAGCGTGAGCCTGCTTGTGATAAAAAGGCTTCATGAACTTGTGTGTCAATGGACGCATCCCACTTGTAAAATTTCTGTAACATTACAAGTTCATCAAAGTTAAGCAAATATCCAAAGCACAATTTAAGCTGCAATTTTTCTTCATTTAGTTAGTACCAAACAAGCATGGCTTACTATTACCTACTCCAGATTTCAATTATACAAGAAATGCACCATTCTGCAGCTTAAGTTCACTAGAAAAACACATATTCAATCAAAGTTTTCTACATCCAACATTCAAATATTTAAATTCAAAATTTACCTTAAATTCCTCAAAATTTTTGTAACATTACAAGTTCATCAAATTTAAATAAAGCACAATTAGAAATGTCCAAAGCACAATTAGAAATGTCCAAATCACAATTTAAGCAGCCAACTTAACTATAAATATCCAAAGCACAATTTAAGCTGCAATTTTTCTACATTTAGTTAGTAACAAACAAGCCTGCCTGACTAGTACCTACTGCAGATTTCAATTATACAAGAAATGCACCATTCTGCAGCTTAAGTTCACCACACAAAAACAAATATTCAATCAAAGTTTTCTACATCCAACATTCAAATATTTAAACTCAAAATTTACCTTAAATTCCTCAAAGTATGTCTCTTTGTACTCATTAGGCACACTCTTCCAATTATATCCATTCGGATGGATCACTTTCATGAATATCTTTGTCATTGTAGCTGAACATGGGTGAGAAGGTATCAACTAATGGGTTTCCTAAGTGTCAAATCTATTTTTTAAATACCAAAAATCAAATACCAAATACCAAAAATCTCAAGCTTTGGGACCAGATTCTCTACGAAAAGAGATTTCAAACTCAAAGCATGAAAAGTTCTCAAAAACCACCAACTTTTGCTGTTACGTTGCAGCTATTGGTTCTGGGAATTTTCTTACTGTTTCTAGGCTGTCATTTTTCCGAGACAGAAACTATGGAGTTTGATCGGTTTCTGGGCCCTTTTTTTTATTTTAATTTTGGGTTTGGGAATGGAGAATCTGAGGTTGAATTGATGAGAGCTGAGTATAGTACTTTATGGTAATGATGATTTCAAGATTCTTAACATCTTTTAAAAGCTGACTTCCCAATCTTACCTTTCAACTTGTGATGATAAACTTGAGTGTTAGTTTCAGTCTGCTCCATCCCTTTCTCTTTTGTCCAGATTTTTGGGTTAATTCTCAGATTAATGTTGTGGTCTGAAGACATGGTGACAACGTTTGTTTGTGGTCCAAAAACTGTAACAATATAATGGGATAGATAATAGTTTCCATGGCAATTATATGTTCAATTATATGCCAATCAAGAAGCACACTGGCATGTATGTATGTTATATGCAGCACTGCATTGCAGCATAATTTAAAGACACTAACAGATGCCCCTCTTAAAGACTAAGGGAAAAACATATGTGCCATTATTTTTGGATGTATGTATGATCTGTTTGTTTTGGCTAATTGCTTAACACAGTAAATTATTTCATAACATAGAAGTACAAGCAATTAGAATTTAACACAGTACAGTTGATCTCTTGAACACCTAGGGGTTTAAAACAACAATCCATATTGACAAGATTTTCTTTTTTTCTTTTTTCATAATGGTATTAACTAGTTAATGATGGCCAGTAATTTTATTTCTTTTTCTCAGATAATATGTTAAATTGAGATACAGTTTTAGGCAAAGTCAACAATGTAAGGTGGACCATGATCTATGGGGTATAACAATTGTGACAAAACTATAAGTTTATTTGGACCTTACTTTTAACTACAATGTGGGCAATTCATGGCCATATCTTTGCAACCTTGTATTCTCAAATTGTTTATACCAACAGCTCTCCATTATTGCAGATTTGCAGATCAAGCTGGCATTAGACTATGTAAACTCAACTACTCAATTCATGGCTACTTTCTTACTATATAAAACCATTCTGATTTCTCAACAGTTTGATCAAGACATTGTTGTCTCTCATATATACATATAAGATTGATTATTAAACTTAACAAAAACAATTGTGTATACCTAATTCACTGATTGTACAAATGTACAATACAACCTGTGCCACACAAAAGTTACAACCAATGGTTGTTTACTTCTTTTCAGTGGACACAAAACCAAACAGATCAGACAAAAAAATTAAAACAATTATTTGAAGATACAGTTGGTTCTTACGATATGAATGTTGCACACAGAAGCAGATTCCAAGAGGGATGTGGCAAAGCCCGGAATTTGCACCACTTGTAGCCAGCGACGGTGACCTTCAGAACCTCCAGAAATGTACAATTAATAACCACCCTAATATCGACATAAATTTTGGCTATTCTCATAATGATGGGCATATTTTACGCTCATATTTTAGGTACATCTTTATAATATTTTATATTAATTATTTAATATTATCTAATAATTAGTTCTTTTTATGTACATAGTATAATCTATTCTTATACTATATATAATATATATAATATATAATTTATAAGAGTACATACTACGTACTTAATACTATATATATATAATATACAATATAATATATAATATAATATATATAATATAGAATGCATTATAGTATACATATAATGCGTACTACATTATAATTACTTTTATATATATATATATATATATATATATATATATATATATATATATATTATAAATCTAAACTTTACAATTGATTTTTTCTTTTTTGTACAGGCATGCATCATAATAACATGGCTGGAATTGTGGAAGACTCAGGCATAAGGCAAAATAATAGGAAAAATGAGTGGTAGAAAATGATTGGGAAAATATATAAATAGTTAAGGTTTTCTATTGTAAGCTGTTCATTCTTCCCTCCTCTATAGTATTCGTTGAAGTTGTTATCAATGTCCATTTGTGGCTAATTTCTAGTTGGTTTAGTGAATTGAAGCCCCGGAGTTCATAACGCTGTAAGGTTATTTATTTAACTTTATTATATATATGTTTTTATGCATTTTGAGTATTAAATATTCTTCTAAATTATTTGAATAGTTGTATCATTTAATTGCTAGGGAGGCCTACTAGTTATTTATTTGATATAATTATTTGCTATATTAGATAATGTTGTGCTACAAATTATTCTAATATTCAGTAGCAACTGAGGTTAATTATTGACGGCTTAGTGATAATTGGTCTCGGGTAGAATATTTTCCTAAATTAAATGCAACTGCTTGTGCTTGTGTTATTTAGTTTGTCGGTTTTCCTAGTTCCTATTGCTGCTATTAAATTAAATCTATAGCGCTTGTCTTAGATTATTTAGTAGTTAGGGGTAATTAAACCGCTTGTGCTTTATTTACCTACAACTAAGGGAAAACAGAAATGAAATAATTTCACGACAAATATTCAATTGCATATTAATTACTTTATTAATCAATGATCAGTGTTGAATTCCGGTGGTGGATCTTTACTAACCAAGGTCTCCTATTATAAGTGTTTTCGATATATTATTTTCATTGCTTTATTCGTTCAATTAAATTTCTTGTTTATTTAAATTCTCTTTTATTTTATCTTTATTCTCGATATATTCCAAACCCCCCTACCTTTAATTTGAGCACAAAAGTTAAACTAGTTACTCCTCGTGGGATCGATCCTTACTCCCGCTACTACGTTTGTAAGGTTTTAATTTGGAAGCCTACGACAGCTCACCAAATTTTGGCACCGTTGCCGGGGAGATTTTCTAGCTTATTTTGTGTTTGTTTATTTATTTATTTATTTATTTTGTTATTTGTTTATTTGTTTTTCAATTTGTCCCAAACGAAAATAAAAATAATAATTTTCTTTTCTTTCATTACTTTTACATAATTGCAAATCAAAATATATTTTCTTTTTGTTTATGCCTATAACTCGATCTGCTAATCAAGAACTCTTGCCGTACTATCCGGAAATTGAAAGAACTATACGCTGGTGGAAGAAACAAGCTTTGAGGAAATTGGAGTTTAGTGATCTGGCTACCGATTCTACCAATTCTGATTCAGAAGGGGAACCCATGGCTCAAAATCGGACTTTAAAAGAGCTTGGAGCTCCAAATTTGGATCAGCAACCTTTATGCATCACTTTTCCCGCTCTAGATGCTAATGTACAATTCGAACTGAAATCTGGATTAATTCATCTTTTGCCTTCTTTTCATGGACTTGCAGGTGAAGATC